GTGGTATCAATGTTCATAAAGCTAATTAGAAAAAAATAAATATAGTTTTGAATCCGTGAATATTTTTGGTTTGTGCTATTATCAGCTCTTTAACTAACTGCACACTGAGAAATGATTGTAGTCCTGACAATGTTGCTATTTTGGTGTTCGGAACAATACGGCTGTAAGAGCAAGTCTTTGAGGAACTCTATTCCTATCAACTCAGAAGCACATGGAATCTGGTATGAAATTGTTGGCACATCGTTAGCAGCCAGCTTTGTGTGCTGCCCAGAGAGTTAACATATTTCAAGTTTAGCCAGAGTGAAATTGTGTATATTTCCATTTCCAAGGTCACATCCTGGCACTAAAGGTCACAAATCCTGGCATGGTCTAGGGCATATGGACTTAATTTTTTGGCAGAATTCAGGAAAATAATGAGAAATTCTAGTTTAATATACATATTTTTCTTACTGTTAGAATGTTGCTATGTTTATTTCAGAGGGTTTAACCATGACAACCAACTTCCACTACCTGGAGGCAATGAAGCTGCACAGCACCAACCACAACCAATTGAAGACTTCAATCGTTTACCAGCTTTGCCAGGGAATGAAGCACAGTTACAGCTACCACAACACCACCAACCAGAAGGTAAGTTAGCATGAATAGATGTGCTAGTTGTTCACATCATAGTTGTAAAGATGATATATGGACTAGTATGGTTTTTTAGTCCCCTTTCAGGCGAAGTCCGAAAACAGGGACTTATAATTAGGTCTCCGTCCGTCCGTCCGTGTGTCCGTCCGGAGTCATATTTCAAAATTCTTTGGACCGATTCTGCTCATTCTTTGCATGTGCCTCGAACTTTATGTGGGACATATGCTCATGCAGTGGTTTAGCAATTTGATTCAAAATTGTCGACTGGCAGCCATTTTTTTTTTTAAATGTTGTATTTTGGATGGCTCGTCAGTTTTTATTAAAATTTGGTACATAGATTATGCATGTTAGGATACATGTCCTCCGACCGTCCGTGCATCCGTCCATCCATCTGTGCATCCGTCCGGAGTCATATTTCAGAATCCTTTGGACTGAAACTATTCATTCTTTGCATGTGCCTAGTACTTTATGTGGGACATATGCACATGCAGTTGTTTTGCGATTCGATTCAAAATGGCCAACTGGCAGCCATCTTGGACATCTTGGACATACTTTGTCAGTTTTCATTCATACTTGGTACATAGATTATACATGTTAGGATACATGTCCATGACAATTTGTTTTAAAATCAAGGATGGCTGATTGACAGCCATCTGAATTTTTGGCCTTACTACTATATTTCCAAGATTTATGTACCATTTTCATTCGTATTTGGCACATACATCATACATGTCACTTTGTTTCATAATCAGATCAAAGATGCCCGAATAACAGCTGTTTTTATTTTTGGCCATATTACTATATCTCTGTCACCCATGTATCATTTTAATTGATATTTAGCATGTCATAAATGGATACATGTAGAAGTCGATTCAATTTGCAATTTGATCAAATATGGCTAATTCATGACCTGAAAACGCTGTTTTTGTAGCACACTTCTGTGTGTTGATTTAATGAAACAGAATGTGTACTTGTAGGTATAATAAAATCACTGCACATGCATACATTTATTACAATTTTTCATCTAACCAATACTGTTGAGTGTCTTGCAAATACAACATTTTAGTTAATGATAAATCGTAATCTGATTAAGTCTACAGTATGTAGCATTGCACAACAATATTTAAAAATATGTTTTCATCCATATTGTATGTTATTTCCCTTCAGCATAAAAATAACCAAAGTTAAAATATATACCGATATTGTGAAATACTTTATTTTTGCTGGAATTTATTTTTGCTTTTTGGATGTTTTATATGCAGTTTATTTTCACTGATTTTTTGATGAGTTGAATGTTGAGTGTAAAAAAAAAGGTATATTCACTGTCTTTTATTTTGTTGAATAAATCATCCCTTCAGTGAAAATATTTTCAAATATTTTACAGTTATGCATATCAGGGTATAACATACAATTGTTTTGTACGTTGTGTTATAAACATTAAAATGATTGTCTTGTCTTGTTCAGTTGATATGATGCACCAAGATAGAGATATAAATGATGAACAAGTACACCAACCAGAAATAGAAATGCACCAAGCTGATAATTATGATGACCAGGTTAGTTGTATGTACTCACTTTGATGTATGTTTGAACACTGTATAAGTACGAGTTATCACTGTGCCAATATTTAAGCTGAAAAATTGTGGATCATTTGAGTGTAGTGGTTTGAACTCGCTGTGGGTGGTGGTTGGACTCACAGTCATGATCTGACTCACTGTCATGGTCTGACTCACTGTCATGGTCTGACTCACTGTCATGGTCTGACTCACTGTCATGGTCTGACTCACTGTCATGGTCTCACTGCGTGGTGGGTTGATTCAGTGTGATGGTTTGATGGTTCGCTGTAGCTGGTGGTTTTGACTCACTGTGTGGTGGTTTGACTCGCTATGTGGTTGGTTGACTCGCTATGTGGTTGGTTGACTCACTGTGTTGTTGGTTGATTCACTGTGGGGTTTGGTGTGTCCGAGCTTGGTGTGTTTGAGTGAGCAAAATCTCAAAATCTTCTAAGTGGATTTTGACCAAATTCAGTGTGTAGGTACTATGGTGTGATACCCAAACATGATTAGTTATGGGGCCATGCATGTGCATATTTAGTAGCTAATTTGCATACCTAATTATCTCATTTCTGCCTGTGTAAGCAAAATATCAAAAATATCCTACCACACTTTGATGAAATTTGATACATGTGTACCTTGGGATATGGTGCAGACATGATTAGTTTGAGGCCATGTCTATGCATATTAAGCATATAACCATATTCGAAAACCGCTTTTTGATCAAATTAACCACATTGAACCACAATTCGAGTTCCTTTCGCCTATCCGTAAACTTACATATATTTTTTCTCAGGATAACCATGAAATCATCCAAAGTATTGCAAGATTTGTATACACAGCTTTTCAGATTAGATATAATTTGTTAGTGTGAGTTCTCCAATAGATGAGTTGTATATGTGTGTGTATGTGTATATATATAATACTTTATTTTATTGAGGCGATTAAAGTCACGCCTGTAACTTTCGCATTGTAACCTGTTCCCCCAGGTTAGTGGGGTATATTTCTTTAGAGAAATGGAAATAAAATAATAATAATAATAATAATAATAATAATATTAAGTAGCTAATTTGCATATCAATTATCTAATTTCAGTCTGTGTACTTTAATGCAAAATCTCGAAAACCTATTTAATTTTGATCAAATTTAGTACATAGGTACCTTGGGGTAATGTGCAGACGTGGTTAGGTTTAAAGCCATGTCCGTGCATATTAGGTAGCAAATTTACATATTAATCATCACATTTCAGTTGGTGTATTAAATTTATCAAATTGTGGGGTAATGTGCATTTTTCGATTTCAGTCTGTTCAAGCCAAATCTCCTAACCTCTAATGCCATTGCTCCTTCACTGACTGACTGGAATTTTCATTTTCTAGATACATGTATTTTCTATGAAAGAACAATTGATTGCATTCACACAGGAACTTTGCAGAGTTTAAGTTTGATCACAATTTAGGTCAGTGATTATATAGATAACATGTTTTGAAGGATTCTGAATCAAATTTCACTCTTGTGTTCACAGGTTGATGGAAATAATGAGGAGGAGGAGGAGGAGGAGGAGGATGAGGATAATTATGATGATGATGAAGAACAAGCAGATTTAAACAGACAGAATTTAGCACAAAAAGCAGCAGATGAAATGAGGAGACGAGGACGAGAAATGTAACAATTTCTGTTGTGTATTTTTCAAAAAATATGTCTTTTTAGGGTGGGTTTTCATATCCGTTCTTGCTGCCTATCATGTTTGAAGATTTTTTAAAAAAACTATTCTGAATTTTTTTTTGTTTTCGCCATGCTTTTTTTTTTATAAAAAAAAAGTTTTTTTTTTCATTCGATTGCAATTTTGCTTTCAAGTTATATTTAAAAAAAGTTTGATGCAAGTCGAAATGTGGTCAGATATTTGAGTACCGGTAGGTACAAGGTTACTGGATTGTGGAGTTCATTTAATTCAATAACAGGACAGCTTGCAAAAAGCTAGGGGAATCTACATGTATATTGATGTCTTCTATTGGTCAGTAAAATATACTTTCCATACTTTGAATTGCTTAGCTATACAATGATTTCTTTTACTTATATATTACTTTCTAATCATATGAAATTTAAATTATTATTTTTTCACTTACATTATGTTACAAGTTTAAAAATGAACTATTTTTCCTGTTCTTTTTCTTTTGCCAAGTGATTCCTTGCAGCTTTCTTAAAACAATGACATCACTTAAAATAGTTTTAACATTTTGTAAGAGAATGTGCTATTTACTTGACATAAATTTCAACACGAAATTGAATATTGATAATTTTAAGTTTTAATTGAAAATTGAAATTGAAAACGCAAATCATAAAATTTCTTACACATGTTGTATATGTACCATTCTGTGTGAAAACAATTTTGTAAATTAAATAGTTTTATTTGAGGAGTTGATAAAATCAAGGGCTTGAAACTTTCTTAATGATGTGAAGTTTCATTAAATTAAGTTTTGTACCCTGTTACACACTAATTCGTGACATTCAACAACTTTGTTTTTTGGTCAAGTGAAATATAACTACCAGTACCAGTATGTTGAGAATGCCTTTCCTGTATATAGCACCCTCTAGTGTTGAAACATATCATTTACATCACTCTTGTTTTCTCCTGTAGTTGTTCATCAAATGAAATGTTTTTGTGACATTTATTGTCACTTGGAAAGACATTTCATCTATGTTATTCTTATGTCACAGAATAGCTACATTGCTAACCATTGCTAACTAATTTGTGCAACTTTTCACAAAAATAAACTATTATCCATATTCTTTCAACAATTTTAATCAAGAAATAAAAAAATTATAAAATAAAAATGTTTAAAATGTCAATCAACGTGTGGCGGGAACATTACAAAACTGACAAGGTTAAAGTTGTTGTGTATTACTAGTATAAACATTCATGGACTTATCAGTACAGGTACTCCTTAAGTTACTAGTTATTCTAAAGTGTCATTATTGGAGACTAAGAGATTGTATGGCTTGCTCTACAGTTTAACTTTAGACCTAGAATCTGAGTTGTGTTTGATATACACACTCCACTCATGCCTAGAATTGATACTACCGGTAGTTATATTACCCATTCGGATGCAAACTACATGTACATCCACTATGGGATGTCATCAAAAGCATAGTTCAACCAATAAAAGTTTCTGATCAAAATGAGATATTACTGGCATTGTAACTAGGCATAAATTCACTTGACAGGAAGAGTTTACATATTCTGTCAATACTGTGAAGTCGCTGAAGCTACATGTAGAGTGAATGACAAGAATAAAATACGGATAACAAAATTTGTCAATTTAGCCTCCCTATCTTACTGATTGGTAGTCTCACTTTCAGATGTCTTGTTAGACTGTCGACAGTTGGTCGTACTTAATATTAATCTGTTATTATTGTGTATAGGCATGAATAAATTGCCAATGCCAGGACAGGACAGGAAGTATAGAGTGCTGTTAGGGACTAAAGTCCCTCACGTGAAATGATTCGCATTTCCCATCCAACGAATGTTTGAAAGTCTAGGAAACATAATTACATTAGGCCAGAGGACTGTCGACAGTCTGTCTTGTCTACACTATATTGTATGTATAGGTGTTCTTCATACTTTGACTAAGTCAACTTTTGTCAATTTTCTGCATGATTTTTCAAGAAGTTTTGATCGAGCGCTGTAGTCAAGAGGAACTTCTGTCTTATCCAAAACATTAAAGAATATTTAAAAAAAAAATTAAATATAGCATTACAATTTTAGCATTGAAAGGGTAAAAGCAAGTCAAATTAGCCTAGCAATCTACAGATGTTAAGGCACAACTATCTCACTGATAATAGGATTAACTCCCTAGGTTATTATTACTGGTGTTGGACTCCCTATCTTTTTGTGTATTAATACATTGTAAAATGTACAAGACAATATTTGCTGATTATACTGTCTATAATTGCTTGTACATAATTTATTATAACCTTGTCTGTTTCAAGATTGAGGAATGCAGTCACATGGACATTTTTAAACTGCACTCACGCAAGATTTTGTATTAGATTAAAATACAATAAAATAAATGATTGTTACTTTGTAGTCTATCTGACTGAATTAGATATTTACCCAATTTTGTTTTTAAATCTGACTTTTGGATTTTACTTCTTTTTGTGGAAAGAGCATACTAGTGGTAGAAAATTATTTTTGCCCAAAAAAAATACCATCTGAGTTTCAAAAGCCTTCCATCCTAAAGAGATTTGTTGCATTTGGCAGTCAAATACACATTTTTTTGGAGTAAATTGAATTTAACATAAATAATGTTAAATTGTACAGAGTGCCACATGTGACTACAAATTAAGGGTCATGGACATTCAAAACGTATCCCAGCAAACCTAATATCATCATTTAGCAATTACGTTCTCTCTCCACGTAAATGTTTGAAAATACAAAATAAACTAAAACAAACTGATTTTCTGCACACAGTAAATGAAATTTCCTTCAAACCCCAATCCTTAAATGAAGAGAATAAGTTTGTAGAGTGCATGTTTTAGGTTTGAACATTTCAATATAACCTGCTTTCAAAGGTGTACAAGACTTCAATTGAGGAGTGATGATCAAGGTCCCTTGATTACCAAAAACCTGGTCCAGTCAGTGCACAACACTTGGATATACTGCATGACTAATGGAACTTGTCATGATTTGTCTATACTGCATTTTTTTCTCACTTTCATTCTTGGAATATTAGCAGCATAAAAATCTAACCAACAGAACATTTTATTTCACACGATCGTATTTATTTTTTGTCAAGAGAAAATCTAACATATGCAAAGTATCAACAACAAAAATGTCCAGTCCCTTGCATATAAACTCAATCTTCTTGAGTAGTACTACATATATCAATTTGCAATGAACAGCAGTAGTTTTACTTATGGGTGCAGAAATTCACTATCTGGGTCTTGTGTAGAACCCCCTCAAATGTCACTTACTGATCGTATCAGGTATAAATTCACTGTCGATGACAATTATTTCCCTAAAAATTGTGATTGAAATTTATTCATGAAAGTCATTTTAACGTGGCATAGTTGAGATACAGCATTAAAATCCTCTGTTATCAGGCAACAAAGTACCAGGATGTATGACCTTTAGGGGTCATGCACAAAGCACATTACCATGATGCACTTGAATAATATTTTCAAACAAATGAAACAACTTAATTTATTGAATAGTGTGTTTTCTATCCGGTGAATGCTTGTGGTGATGCAATAATTCTTTTGACTTAAAGATCAATATGGTTCAGGCTAATCATCTCAATGAATTCAAATATCGCCAATCTCATTAAAATTAGATTTATTATGTGATCATTTTGTTCGAGCAGTTCAGAATTGTATTCAAATGCCAAAATAATAAATCTTATTGTAATTGGATTTGACTGAGAGCAAAGTTTAAGGCGGCCGCATAATGTCGGAGTGAAGCCCTGGAATTAAAGGTCGTGACAATTTTTAGGACTATGTATCATGTTTTGTCACTATCCCACCATCTTGACAATATCAAATAATTTTTTCGTAATTGGATGTCACACTTCCTAATAAGGTACAATGCAGATATTGATTTGATACAGTATAATTATGGCACGCTGTAACTAATGGAGATGGAGAATGAATTTATACCACTCTAATTTGAGACTTGAATATTCCTAAGTTGGGAGTTCAATAATAGATAACCACCAACTCCAAGGGGTTTCTAGCCAAGACTTCTCTCCAATGGCAATATTTTTAGTGATGCAGAGTCAAAACCGCCAAGGATGCAGCCATTATCATGGTTTGACTCTTGCATTCTGACACTAGAAAAAAACTTTTCAAAACCTGTTGAACAATGGTAGTATGCCTCATTGCCAGAACACCACTTGGACAGATAGCCTTGTGAAAGAAACACTGCTAGGACCAATGTGATGTCAGTCTTCATACAATGATCGTTAAAATTTTGTTGACAAACTAATGTATTTTACTGTCTTGTTTGTTGCATGGGACTATCAAACTTCATGCAGCACAATGACAGTTTTCCTGATGTTATGTGGCTAACTTTGATCAGACAATTATCCTTCGACATGACCGTTGGGGGGAAAAATGCAAGATTGTGCTTTTAATTTTGTATAATTATGTTTCATTCAGCTGGTTTCATAACTTAGCCTAAGGTTGGCAATAAAATATTCCTTGTTCATCTGACACACTCATACCTGCCAGTTCACATATCTGTGAGATTCTCATAAACTGGAGACCTTGGGCCAAGAGTTGTTGATCCATCTCAACAGTATTTTATATTATTCACTGCCAATGATCATCTGTTGGGAATAATTTCTTTGAAACAAATATGTTGAAGTTTTGTTTTTGTAAAGTCTAATCTTGTATATTGCCCACTCTGATCTTAGTCAACTGCACATTACCATGGCAAGTTATTTAATAATAATATTATACATCTACTATTGTATTTAAGAATACAATAATTTTTAGTTTCACAATTCAATAACTTTGCAAATGAAGATGTGGAATCCAATAATATACAAATTTACAATGTTATTGGCTTCTGTTTGATCTCTTGACCTCAGCAGTTCAAAGTAAATACAACAAAATCACTCTTTAATCTTACTTTAAGCTGAAAATATATTTTAATATTGAAAACAAGATATGGATTATCCAAACTCGCATAAATTTGTTTGATTGAAGAAATGTCGACAGTGTTTATCAATGCCACTTAATCCAATGCTGGTTAGAGTTGATCACCCAGTCACTACATGCAATAATACTTTCTAAAGATATTCATTAAAGGCCCAGGTATACTATAAATACGCTCCTAAACAATAGGGATCATTTCCTTGCTTGTCACGCTGTAGTAAACAGCTCCAGCCAAGCTCCGGTAAAAACGTGTTTTCTCGAACTTACAGGTCGATTATGTCGTGCCAAAGTGGATGCATGTGACTATGAATATCACAGCAGTGACTGTGTGTAATATTTATGACAATAAAATTGTGTACGAGCTGAGATTTTGGCGGATAAAAGTAAAGAACATGAACCGGGGAAAGGGATGCGCGACTAATCTTGAATAATTACTACTGTCAATCAAAGTCATGTGATGTTGGACCGCTGAAACAGGATGCATCATAGGCTACGCAAGTGATTAACACCATGCATTAGAATAGCCACACCTCCAATTCATACTTGCCCGGGGCAAGTGAATTGGGCCTTTAAGGTAACTAAAATGCATGTGCCTTACAGTTTTCTAGCTTGTATTAAAGCATAAGAGAGCAGTTACAATCTTTCTCAGAGCCCTTTCACGTAAAAAACAAATGTCCAGAATTTGTGTCACTGAAGAGTGCTCGCTAAATTATGCAAATTTATGTCACCTGACAGCATCTGATATCAAACTCTGAAAGAAATAGTTAAACTTATATTCTAAACATCTTTTAAAAAGATGCATAATAATAATGTTATTTAAATTCATGTCATTGTACACTATGTGCCTCATTGCTTTCACTGCATGATGTACTCAAACATAAATTCTTGTATTTTGTTAATAACATTATACCGGTAATAGAGATAAATTTAATTCATTTATAATCTAATGTGTGATTCGTCCATACTTACCTTTACCCCTGAGGGCACTTAGTCCCAAGTAAGAATAAAAATGTATATTATATTTTGTAAACTAAACCCCAAATTATTTAGTTACTATAATTAAATCTCCAATTATTACATAAATTTACAAATCTTTTTTGAAAATTATACTTTTTGTGGCAAGACATTTTAGTAGCGTTAAAATGATGTATACAAGTATGGTTCTTCGAGTACACTAGTCTACACTCAGTTTTTTAAATGACCCTGCTATCCCACCACTAGCATCCACTCCCTGGGCAGTACCTCCGAGGACGTCACTTGCTTTTGGAATACCAAACTGATCCATGTATTCAAATTCAGCGTCACATTTCATAAGGTTTTCGTACCATTCATTACAGTTGAAATCCATGAATTGACCGCCAAATTCTGGTGGTAGAATTGATGATGGAACGTAGTCGTGAAGAGTACCGTACTCCTGGCCATGGAAATGAAGCTGAAAAATATGTAACTTTAAATTAATTGGATTTCCTAAGGGAACACAGAAAATACAAACAAATGTCTTTCAAAAAAATATTACATCAAAATGTTTGCTAACATAAATTGTTTATTTAGAAGCCCAATTTTCTTAATTTGAAAATCGCACTATGGGGAATTCAAAAAGTCAATGGATAACAACTTTGGGAATTTTGTAGTTTATCTTTTATTGGATGCAACTTTTCATTCAGTATCAAGTATTGTGTTTTGAAATATTTCTGTATTTTGTTTGCATTCATCCATAACTCATGAACCAATGTCAACTTTTGTCCCACAAACTGAATCTGCATAAAAAACTTGTATTCAACGAAAAATTATGTCCAGGTTATCAATAATAACAAATTGAAAATTAAAGAAATGCATTTTATGACTTGTAGACAACATCACCAATGAGAATTTTTTTTTGCATATTAGCATAGACTAGCATTTGTAATCATCATCAATTTATTATATATCTGTCACCATATGTCAACAGTTTACATCGTGCCACAATTTAGCGGTAATGCAGCCTTCCATATTAGGAAATAAGCATTCCAAATATGGAAGGAAATCACAAAATTCCCAAGATGAACATTTTTTAAAACGAATTATAAGCGAGAATAATTCCAATAAATGTCTGAATTTTGTGCATTCTACACCAAGCGATTGGATTAGGAAGATGTATAATAAGATTATGAAGATATCACAAAGTAAACAGTATGAAAGTATGGGGTCACATCAACACTAGACATATGCCAGTCAATCTTCTTCTGGGGCATACAGTATGGCATCCTTGCATTAACATTACGAGTAACAATGGAGTTTTCATTTGTGTAGAAATATATACACTCTTACCCGCTTGATCAGCTTCGCAGACATAAATGGTCTGAAAATGGAAAACATGGTTTCAAATATATCTGGCTGTCGAATGTAGTGTGCTGCTTTGAACCGAATCGGGATTGCATTCTGAAAAAAAATATTAAAATTATGAAATCATTGATGTTTGTAACCATGGTAACCCTATGACCATTATCAGTAAGCTTCAAACAACAACAATTTAGATGCAAAGTTCATTCTAGGATGTGATAATTTATGATTTTATAATTTAAAATTATTTTGTCCTATTTACCATTTTGTTGAGTAAAATTGGTAGTTGCTTATTGGTTTACTGAGCACGTCCCAAGATCGTTACATGATTGGAACAAGTTTGGTCAAACCAACCTCAACAGGAGACAAACTAATAATGAGGGACATAAATATCAATAGAAGATAACATTTTCATACAATTTATTACATGAAATCATATAAATTGCTCAAAAAAGTTTAACAAAATGAATGCATCAACCTGATATTTTCCAATACTCTACATTACAGCAATTCCGGGCACTGATTTGATGCTGAAGTAGTGCTAGATATAGATAACATTCTACAATAGGTTACACACTTTGTTTTCACATTTACATAAGTTGTAACTAGAAATATAAACATCGGCTGCAAATCAGAGGATTGATTGACAGATATTGCCCACAATGTTCTCTATTTTTGCTACAGAGTCTGATGTCCTCAGACTTTGCAGCGCGACTGTCTTTCAGTCACCGTGTTGATTGCGTGTTTACAAATCAACATTTGTCCAATGTTATAGACTATGCCGAACATTATAAAACGTTGAGACTGAGCATTTACGGGCTACTCGAAGACGGTGTATATATGGCAGCAACCCTCCCCGGACGTGTGATCGTGTGTAGCGAGTGATAAGCTGTTTAATTAACGATTATTTCGTGGCACAACAACCTTTCGGTTCTCATCGTCGAGAACTAATAATCGAATAACACCCATTCTAATTATATATTCAATTTCATTCTTCATATACTGGACGAAGTCTTCATAGGACATTTGTTGTAGGCAGCTTTCAGTTATATACATCGGCGTGATACGGATATTTCCATAGTAGGAATAATGCACTTTGATCAATAATTCTGTCATGATCAGTCGGCCAGCTGGTTCTGTAAAATAACATTTTTTACAGTGCCACCACTGTAAGCGCCCTCCCACTGAAATAATATGTGACGCAAATTAAGTATGAAACTAAGTTGAGAGCCTCGATCGTTTATTGGAGGAGAAATTCAAAACTAATGTACCGCCACTTTTATGGGCACTTCAAATTGCAGACATGCTGTCTGCATTATTTGTAACAACTTGTGTAAATGTGAAAATAAAGTGTGCAACCTATTGTAGTAAGTTATCAACATCTAACACTACTTCAGCGTCAGCGTCAAATCAGTGCCTGGAACTGCTGAAGATGGGCTTTCTAAACCAATAAAGCGATTGTTTTGTTCAATTCCAGTGATTTTCAAGTTAATGATTGACAAGCCAAAGTGTTACTGACCATAATTTCACTGTAAATTTAAAAGCAGCTGGCCTGAAA